ATTTTAAAAAGAATAATAATAGTACTTATGAGCTAGGCACTGTTCTAAGCACTTCACATCTATTAATTTCATCCTCAAAAATTCTCTAGTAGTTTTGGGCCTTTTGAAGCTAGGTCATAAGAAGCTAGACAGCTTCTGCCCATGCTTATTTTCGTTTGTTTTGTTTTGTTTCGTTTTGTTTTTAACCCTCACCCGAGAATATTTTTCCATTGGTTTTTATTTTTATTTATTTATTTTTGTTAGATATATATTTTTATTGATTTCAGGGAGGAAGGATGAGGGAAAGACAGAAAAATACCCATTGGTTGCCTCCTGCACTACCCCCCCCCCCATCCCCAATCCCCCAACCAGGCCCTGCCCTGGGGAGGACCTGCAATGGAAGTACAGGCCCTTGACAGGCATGGAACCCAGCATCAAACCAGGGACCCTTTGGTCTACAGTTCACACTCTATCCACTGAGCCAAACAGGCTAGGGCTGCTCATGCTTCTTAGAACACTCTGGTAGCCTGAGCTGCCATGTAAGAAGTCTTACTACCCTGAGTCTGTCATGGTGTCAGAAATGTGAGGGAAGCTCTCCAGATTAACCCATCTGCCTGTTGAATACTACATGAGGCAGAAGAATCACCCGGCTAAGCCCTCCCCCATTTTGACCCATAAAATTGTGAGCTATATTAAAATGGTTGCTAATTAACAAAATACAAACAAGCCAACATATCATGAGATAGGTGCTCTCATTCTCATTTTACAGATGAGGAACTGAGGCACAGAGAGGTTACTTTGTACCAGGAACTATACAAGGCATTGAAGATAGAATTATTAACAAAATAGATACAGGCTTCTGGTTTGGCAGAGCTCAAAGACCTCCTGGGAAGTTAGATAATCAAATAATGTTTAAAGTGTGCTGAAAGTTATGATGGGGATGTAAAGCTTGCTGTGGGAACTACTAGTTAGGGCCCCTACCTAACTCTAAGGGGTTAAAAGAGCTCTTCTTGTGTGTGACCTTTCGACTGAGATATGAATGATGAGTAAGAGTTAGCCAGGTGAAGATTGGTGCGAGTGAGAGAGGAAGTGTTTCAGGCAGAGGAAAGAAGATATGCAAAGTTGCACTTTAGGAGTGGAGTGGCTGGAGTGTGGAGTTTGTGATGGGGAGTGTGAAAAGTCTAGACCGTGGTCGGCAAACTGCGGCTCGCGAGCCTCATGCGGCTCTTTGGCCCCTTGAGTGTGGCTCTTCCTAAGCCTTAGGAGTACCCTAATTAAGTTAATAACAATGTACCTACCTATATAGTTTAAGTTTAAAAAATTTGGCTCGCAAAAGAAATTTCAGTCGTTGTACTGTTGATATTTGGCTCTGTTGACTAATGAGTTTGCCGACCACTGGCTAGGATAAAGGGGGAAAGGTGTTTGTAAATCAGATTGTAAAATGTGGGCTTTACTCTGAGTACAATGAGAAGCCTTTGAAAGGTTAAGTCAAGGGAGTGGCAGGGAATTTTTGTGTTTTAGACAAGTCGCTCTGGCTGCTGTGCTAGGAATGGAGTGGAAGAGAGCAGAACTATATGCATGGAAACTAGTTAGGAGGTTATATCATCCAGGCTAAAGAGGGTGGTAGTTGTAGGGATTAAAAAAGTCCGTAGCTGAAACCGGTTTGGCTCAGTGGATAGAGCCAGACTGAAGGGTCCCAGGTTCGATTCCGGTCAAGGGCATGTACCTGGGTTGCGGGCACATCCCCAATAGGAGATGTGCAGGAGGCAGCTGATCGATGTTTCTCTCTCATTGATGTTTCTAACTCTCTCTATCTCTCTCCCTTCGTCTCTGTAAAAAATCAATAAAATATATTTTTTAAAAAGTCCGTAGAGCTCTGGCCAATTTTCTCAGTGGTTAGAGTGTCAGCCCTTGGACTGAAGGGTTCGATTCAGATCAAGGGCACGTATCATGGTTGCGGGCTCCATCCTAGGAGGCAACCAATCAATGCGTCTCTCTCACATCTCTCTCTCTCTCTCTCTCTCTCTCTCTCTCTCTCTCAGATAAAGATCTGGAATGAAGATATGGTACTCAGCAGCACGGAGCTCATTTGAGCTAAAGAGATTAAGACTACCTCGGTACACAAAGCGCAAAGGGCACTGGATCTCAGACCACTGGGGTTTAAGGAACAAGCAAAGGAAAGTCCTCCCTTATGCAACAGAGAAGCAAGTGCTAAAAAGGTAAGGAGGACACCCACAGTGTTTCTAGGAGAAAAAAGTAAATTTGTTGGCAGCCGCTGAGATGTCAAGCAGCATAAGGACTGCAAAGTGTCCGTGCAAACTCAGGGATGACCCTAGTGAAGAGTGACCTTAGGAAGGGGAAGGTGTCTGGAGAGGAAATCAAGATTCTGTGTGTAGGCAGCGCTTTCAAGAAGTTTGATTTTACAGAGGAAGGGGCCTAGCTGGTTTGGCTCAGTGGGTAGAGCATTGGCCTGTGGACTGAAGAGTCCCCAGTTTGATTCTGGTCCAGAGACACATGCCTGGGTTTCGGGCTCGATCCCCAGTGCGGGGTGTGCAGGAGGCAGCCAATCAATGGTTCTCTCTCATCATTGATGTTTTTCTCTCTCTTCCTCTCCCTCTTTGAAATCAATACATATACATACATATATATTTTTTTTTTTAAAGGAAGAAGTACAGTGGCAACTGGAGAGCACAGTCAAGGGAGGTTTATTTAAAGATGGGGAATACTTGGCTACATTTAAAAGCTGATGAGGGGCCCTGACCGGTGTGGCTCAGTGGATAGAGCATCCGCCTGCGGACTGGAGGGTCCCGGGTTCAATTCCAGTCAAGGGCATGTACCTTGGTTGCGGGCTCATCCCCAGTGGGGGGGTGTGCAGGAGGCAGCTGATCGATGTTTCTCATCGATGTTTCTAAATCTCTGTCCCTCTCACTTCCTCTCTGTAAAAAATCAATAAAATATATTTTAAAAAGCTGATGAGGGTCTGGCCGGCGTGGCTCAGTGGTTGATCATCAACCTGTGAACCAGGAGTTCACTGATTGTGGGCTTGAACCCCAGTGTGAGGCCTGGGAGAGGCAGGAAGAACTGCAGTCACTATTTTGGGAGTGGGAAGGAAGAGTTGAAGGGTGGGATTCTGCGCATTTTGAAAGTGGAGCAAACTAAGGAGGAATGTCACCCAGCACTCAGTACTGGTAACACAGCCTTCAGATCACACATCAGAGGAGGAGAGCCGTCTGACTGATGTCACCAAGGGGGAGGTACTCACCTCCACCCCACCTCTCCAAAGCCAGACTAAAAGCTCACAGAAAGCTTCACCTTGTGCAGTGGAGAAACAGAAAGGGAAAGGGGAGGTCAGGTAAGGAGGAAGCACAGGTGTGGGTTCGGAAGCTCTGGCAATGGACAGGGGAGGTCAGTTTCCACCTTCCAGGGAAAAGCTGGCATCAGTCTCCCATTCACCCCAATATGCGGTCATAGCATCCTGTGCTAGCTGCCCATAGACCCCGATTCCCTTGTGAATTAATAAACGTGTTGTGTGGTCAGTGAAGATCTGTTTTTAAGCTCTAAGAGGGCAAGGGCTGTGTCTGTCTCCTCCCTGCATCTGACCCCCAGTGCCTAACATTGTTCCTTTCACACAGGAGGTGCTCAGCCAATCCTTGCTGAGAGTATGAATGAATGAGCCCACACACTAAAGTAGGGCCCCACCCAAGAGGCTTAAGTACAGAGGCTTCCCAGCTCCCCAAAACATGGCCTGGATTGGGAGGATGGTGGCGTTTTCACCACTATGTCTAACTGAACCCCTCTGTGTTTCTCCCACCCACTTTCTTGTTCTCTCCAATTTGGTCTTCCTGGCTCTCTGTTTCTCTCTGTGTCTCTCTGACTCCACACAGGAAGCATGCAACTTTAGGTCTGAGGTTATTAGTAATGGAAACATTGGTGTCTGTGTACACTTCATAAAGGGTCACAAACTTTTTATTTTTGTCATCAACTGCTTTCTTTTTGTCTGTGTTCTGTCTCAGAGCTGATCCTTTTTTTCTCATCTTCCTGTGTCCAACTCAAGAGTCCCACCACCGTCCAGAACCAACTTCTTTTGCCCCTGGATCTTCTGATGGGCCCCAGAAGATGCTTGGAGGAAAATCACTGAGGTAGGCCATGTCTGATTTCCTGCCTTGCTGGCCTCACAGCCCTGCTGACCACATCCTCTGTCACCTTACTTACATACTTATACTTCCTCACCAGTCACATCACTCAGGAGTTCTCAGCCCCCAAAACCTGTCATTGACCCCCACGCAGGCCCGTTGCTTTACCCTCTTCTCTCACTCCAGGATTCCTGTGCTTGTTTTCCTCTGACCCCGCTCTGAGAACCATGTTGCTCTGCCTCGAAGTAGCCAGTTCTGACCCTTTCTGGATATCTAACACCCCCTTTTCCCACAGGTGACAGGACTGGTCACAATGCTGTCGGGCCAGTGGTGGCCAAGTACTTGGGGGAACCTAGGCCTGGGGCCCAAAAACATTTCTCAGGGACCCCAGCTCTGTGCCCTATATGCCTTCACTTACACTGCGGCAGATGGCCGGCAGGTATCTATGGCTGAAGGGGACAGGTTCCTACTGATTCGAAAGACCAACTCTGACTGGTGGTTGGCAAGGCGCCTGGGAACACCATCCACCTCACGACCCATCTTCGTACCAGCTGCCTACATGACAGAGGAGTCTATCTGTTCCCAGAGCCCAACCACCATTGCCACCAGGCAATCCCGCTGGACTCATGGTGAGTAAACCCTTCCCATCACCTTCTTACCTCCGTGGCTTCTGGGAATTATTGGAAGGGTCCTCCTCCTCCAAGTTTCTGCTGATCCCCTTCTCTTGTTTTCCTGTGACCAGCCTACTCCTTATACCCACCAGGGTGCCCCCATGGCCTCTCTTCCTAGTCTCAAGTCTTCAAGATCTCATTTTATTTTTCAACAACAGCCTCTCCCTGCTCTTGTCTCCCCTGTGAACCCCCAGCCAAGATCAGGCCTCTGATCACCTGCCCCCTGCTCTCCCCATTTCTGTTTCCAGCGCCAGAGCTGTTTCCTGGCTCACTGGAGGCGCTGCATCCACCTCAGGCAACCGCAGGCAGAGCCCAGTCTACTTCGCAGCAGCCTCCTTCTCTTCCCCCCAAAATCTATAGAAGTGTCAGTGTTACCAATCTGAGGCCCACTCTCCTGAAGCCCTCCCAGGATGGACAAAGCGGAAGATCTCTCTCCCGGGAGGACTTGCTGACAGAGGCCAATGCCAATGTGGTGAGTCACAGCTCTCCATCCGAGCAGCTGCGATCAACAGACATTTATTGCTGAGCCCTGTCCTAGGCACGGTGGCTAACAGGACAGACTCAGCTTTCAGGGGTTCCCATGACTGACAACTCTCATAACCAAATATGTGTTGGTCCTAATAAGTGCTTCCGGGAAGATAAATATGGTGGAGAGGGCCTGACCTGGCCTAGGAAGGCATCTCTGAGTAGATAACGTTTAATCGAATCTGAATAAGGAAAAGTCAGAGACTGCCTGGATGCAAACGAGGAGATGAGAAAGAATTCTAGCTGAGGGACAGGACAGCAAGAAGCAAAGATCGGGAGGGTACATGGAACCTGGCAGATGATAGAGGGACTGAGAGAAAGCCAACCTCAACGGTGCTTTCTCTCTCTTCCTCCTATTCCTGGCTAAAGGCAGGGTTTGTCCTGTGTCAGGTCTTGTCACCTCTAGAGATGGAACTCCTTTGCTCTTCCTGAAGACTCAGCCCCTCCCCTCTCGTAGTTACTAGTGGTTGAAAGTGGCCCCTCCTTTCTCAAACCCCCTCCTCTCAGTCTCCTTTTACTTTGGAGGATGTGAGGGTGGGGAGCTCCCCTCAGCCCCCCCCCCCTCAACACACACGCCTGTTCCCCTTTCCTGCGGCCCTAGGCTGGGGGTGGGGTGGGGGAGGAGGGAAGTTGGCAACAGGAAGTGAGGAGAAGAGCATAGAAGACTGTGAGGGAGGGAGAAAAAGAAAAAAAAACACAGCCGGGGACCAGGTTTCTCCCTCAGTACCTGGGTAACCCCAGCCAGGATCTGGTGGTGAGAAAATGGTGGGGGAGAGTGGGAGGTAGTTAGGTAGAGAGATGTTTGGGGAGAATACCTACCCCTTTCTCCCCCCTTTCCTGGCAGGCTGGACCCCAGCTCCTCATGTCAGAGCCCCCTGTGTACTGTAACTTAGTGGACCTTCGCCGCTGTCTCCAGTCCCCACCCCCAAGCCCTGCGTGTGCCCCGCTGCAGAGGCTGGACGCCTGGGAGCAGCACCTGGACCCCAACTCCGGACGCTGCTTCTACAGAAACTCGCTGACTGGCTGCAAGTCCTGGAAGCCTCCACGCCGCACTCGAACCCAAGAGACGGTGAGACCTTCCCTCCGGCTCATCTCTTTGTCCCTTCAATCCCCTCCTCTCCCTACTACTGTGTTCCAAAGTAGTGTGTTTGCTTCCTGGGGCTCGCAGAAGTCCAAGAGATTCAGAAAATTGTGAGAAGGGTGTTGAGAGCGGGTTGAGGGTGGCATCTGGCCGTAGCTTTACCTCCTCTCCCTCCCCCCTCTCCCCCCCAGAACCCTGGCTCCATGGAGGGAACACAGACCCTGAATAGGGACAACGGTGTCCTGCAACCTCAAGCAAAGGGCTCAGACTCGGACACGGGGTCCCCAGAACTGCTCAACCCCCAGGTGAGACCCCTTCCTCCTCCAGTTTACCCGCAGGAAAAGCCATCTTTTCACCACTTTCTCTTTTATGCAAGACATTCTTCTTTCTCACGCTCCGGCCACCCACACCCGCACTCCTCTTCCTCCGCAGCTAGGGACCTCCAAGCTAGCGTTTGCTCCACCTGTTTTTCTCCAACCCCCCGCCCCAGGGTTCACCCTGCCTCCCCCGCCGCACCTCCCAGCTCAACCCCCCAGACCAGCCTGCAGCCCGGCAGCCCCTGCGGCCTCTGCCGCAGGTCCTGGACGACCCTCACGTAAGTTTCCCCTTTTCGTGTGCATGCAAGGTCCTCCCAGCCCCACCCCCCAATTCCCGCTCCTCCGAAACATCTTCCTCTTTCTGACTGTTCTCTGGGTAGCCTCCCTCACCCAGTCTCCCTCGAGACTTGAAGCCGAGGTTCTGCGAGGGGCTCTGGGTGACTTACTGGTACCCTCCTCCCCCCTCCATGTCCCAGGAGGTGGAAAAGTCGGGCCAGCTCAACGTGACTAAGATTGCTCAGGGGGGACGCAAGCTCAGGTGAGGAGAGCGGGGAACACGCAGGGGCGCGGCTGTGGGACTCCGCGCGTTGGGTGGAGCAGCGCGGGGAGAGCGCCCTCCCCTCTGATTCCAAATGGCCTCTGCGTGGCTCCCGCCCCTCTGCCCCCGCAGGAAGAACTGGTGTCCGTCGTGGGTGGTGTTAGCGGGGAACAGCCTGATGTTCTACCGGGAGCCCCCCCGGGCGGCACCCTCCTCTGCAGTCTGGGTGAGTGCGGGAGGGCAGGCCGGTGCCCGCGGGGCGGGGCGGGGAGGAGGAAGGGAAGGCGTTAGGAA